GACCAAAAATGTTTGATCCAAGTCCGAGACCGACCAACTTGGTCGTAACTTGTTAGTTTTAAAGTTTTTGTAACACAGCTGTGTTAATCTTTTCTGCACAACACTAAATTGTATGTTAAAATTTCGACTTAATTACATATAAAAATTAATCTTGTACCTGATTACTTAACTATGTTCCGTGACTATTTAAAATCCATAGTTTTCAGCGTAAAAAGCCCTTTAAAATTATGTGCCAGGATTGTATAGGGACATAATTGAAATTTTGAAGTTTAACTGAGCTTGGTGTACTCTGCATAATTTTTCTCCAAATAAAAAGAAAAAATCTGAAGGTAGACTAAAAAATATTAAACAACTATTTTTTTCTTTTGTTTGATAGCGACATTGGTCCAAGAGAAATTATGCCGAGCCATCTAAGAAGGACACCCTGAATAGATCTAACAAAACAATCTTGAATATATCTACAAATTTACATAGATAAGTTTTTAATTTTAATTTTATCAAGAACTGTAACACTATTGCAACCTTATCCCGGAGGCTCATCTTTCGTTAACAAAAACTTCATTTTGAAATTAACATGAACTTTACAAACTAAATTCTTAAAAAGTCTAAATTTCAATAACTGCACTGTTATTCGTATAAAGCAGAGACATGAGTGGTCCTAAGACGCTTCGCTGTGGATCACAAGCCTGTAATTCTAAACGTTTTGAGTATTCATTCTCTTGCATGATTCAAATTTACTAGTCTTAAAAAAATAGTTATAATACATTTTTCTTACCCACAAGCTGACATTAAGTGTATGGGGTAAATATAACTTTAAGGTTTATCCTGGTAATAAAAGTGATAAATAACGTTTCATAAATCGGATATATATATAATTTTTTTTAAATTTATTTATGGCATTTTGGTAATATTGCACTGGCTTCCTCATTTGTTTATTCAAACTAGCTAAGCTAAAAAAAAAAAAAATAGAAACCTAGAAGTGTATTACCAAATATCTAAATATTACTACGTCGAACAAGATAAATCCTTTAAAAAAAACCTTGAAATCGTACTTCAGAAGAGAAAAGCGTGCCCCGGATTATCACGTGGATTAGTGATCAAGGATGAATATAAAAAAGCAGTGTTTGATAGAGACGATTTCATATACAAGTGGGTCTTTTGTGGGCGTCGTGTGACAGAAATAGAATTTTTCACTCGGCTTAATAATCATATTTCCAGAGGGTTTTGATCGTTTTCAATTTTTTCATCAGTTTTCAATAATTTACAACGATAAAACGCATTAATTTTACAATTTAGTCTTGTAATTTAATTATGGTGATAGTTTTCATTTTTACATCAAAATTCTTAATTCACCTGTGTTCATTGTGTTCTATTGTGCATTATTCCGATAATATTTAAAATATACAATAAGTGTTGAGGAGAGGGGCGGGTCGTTTTGGACCAGCAAACCTCCGATCTCGTTTCTACTAATGCCAGTCTTCCTTCTCACTACGATAGGACTACGTAAAAGCGAGCATAAACCTTCACGGAAAACATTAAAAATAAAACAATAAAATAATTAAATTACAATTAAAATAAATAGGTATAAATCAATCAATTGATAAAAAACAACAACATATAATTTGAAGTAACAAAGAAAAAAAATATAAATAATAGATTTCAACTTCAAGTAAATAAAGTAAAATAAATTGTCAACTTCGAATAAAATAAACTATTGTAAACTTCAAATGAATAAATTTAAAAACAAATCCAAATCCAAAATAAATAAAATTAAAATGAACTTAAATTAACGATCGATCGATATTACAATCTAGCAAACAGTCCAAATATTTAATAAAGTGGTACCACTTCCCTCATAAAACGACGATCCAACGATGAACAGGTTGGCGATGATATTAATGACGATGACGAGGAAAAATGGTGACGATGCGACGAGAAAAACGAAAAAAAAATTTACTTCGACGGAACAACGAACGAAAGACGACTGACTCTTATCTGCCGTAATCCGCCGACGCCGACTCGCTGAGCAAAACAATAAACAGGTGCGGATTAACGAAACGCGATCTTTTAAATAAATTCAACAATTAATTGGCGTTAACAATAAATATTATTGTACATTTTTTAAATATTCTAAATTATACAATATTTACATAATTTGTATATTTATATAATTTACAGAGTAATATATTTATAATTTTATATAATACACTGAGAAAAAATGATTCAATATAAACATGAAGTTTTCATAGTTAAATTGTTAAAATATTTACTTTTCATTAAATATATTTGCGTCGTATAATGAAATCACACGTTTTTAACCCTTCCGTAATTTTTTGCATCCAGACGAGCCATAAATATTTTACTGAATTGTTTATTAAAATCAAAACTATTCGAACTTAGAAAGGCTAATGGAGTTGAAGGGTGCATAAATGATAGTCGAACTTTCAGAGACTTCCAACTCTTACTATTCTACGAAGTTCTAGATCTGTTTAATCTCGGTAAGAAGTTGAAAACGTACCCCTTCGGAATCTTAAAAACTTTGCATTTGCGTATAATATACATGTGCAAATAATTTGATTCTTTTGATAAAGATGTGACTCACTTCATCTGATGTTCAGTTCGTTTATTTTACAAAAAAATGCCATATTTGTTTTGGTTTTTCCTCTCTTTTCAGTTTTTAACTGGCGGGTTCTCTTATATCAAATGCCAACGGGTGCTCGATATGTCAAGTTGTTTTTATTGCAGTACCAATTGACGTGGTATTTTCATCCTTAACCTCTCTAAAAGATGAACGACGCCTTTTTCTTAATAACTAAAAGAAAAGGCTAGTTTAAAAATTAATCTACAAGTCCAGAGATTTTACTCAGTTAAAAATAAGAAAGGAGCGATTTTTTTCTTAAAATTGATCTGTTGTTCTCCATTCACATCTAGCATTGTAATATTAAATTGGAACCGTACAGTTAACAATATTTATCTTATACCTCATTATGATTTATGACGACCATTTAAAAAAGAACGATTTTTATTAATTTATTTCCTTCTGCAAGTTGACATGACGAAATGTTCGTTTACAGTCAAAGCCAAGATATCTGAACAATTTCCAGGTTAGTTTCCTCATTTAAAAAATATGAGAAGCAAAGAAAAAACCCGTGTCTTTTATTTGTATACACGTTTAATTTATAGGAATTTAGTTTAGGTAGCTAAAATCTCAATATATAGTAATCCATATATGTTTATCGGTAATAATTAACCGTAATAATTATTTCAATTAATTATTCTTGTTATCAAAGGTTTTAGTTGAGATGCAAAAGTTAGTGTCACGAGCGGGATTCGAACCCACGATCTTCGGCTCAATCCCGAGCAGCGGCATATTGTGCGAATGTCGTGGGTTCGAATCCCGCTCGTGATACTAACTTTTGCATCTCAACTAAAATCTTAGATAAAAAAAGAATAATTAAATGGATTAATATATAGTGTTGAATGAGGATAATTAATTCATCAGGCTTAGAAGGATTAATGATAATTAATAAATTTAGAAATATAAAAAGGTAATATTTTGTTCACCCAACTATATAACAAATATTTTTTTATTTTAAAAATATTATAAAAATATGAGAAATATTTTTTTAGATATCTTAATTGCTATTACCTTAAAAAACAAATATCTCTATTCTCATCTTTGTTTTTTATTTTTAATTTAAAGTAATGAGTTTAGGGTGATAAGAGTTAAATTGGAGCGAAATAAATAAGTGTTGCCAATACACGGGCAGGAACCTTGCGGGTTTTCTGCTAACTTTAAATAAAATTGCTAAATTTGGCAATACACTGAAGCCACTTTGGGCAAGAAAGCGTTAAATTATAAATTGAATTTGGAAAATCATTAATGGAAAAACACGGCACACGCCTTCAACTCGCGCGATTTTCTGCTAACCTTAAACAAAATTGCCTCAATCAACTTTGGGCAAGAAAGGTTTAAATGGATGGAGTGTTTTTTAGAATGGTTCCAGTAGAGCCCAAAAGTCAACAATGATACTTTCTGAGTCAAATGTTTGTGGTTCAGAGATGATCTACCACTAGTATTTGAGTCGGGGATCTTAGGAGCATCATCATGGCTTTCATGTATGTTGTTGACGTCTTATTTACCCCTGTAATTATTTTAAGAAAAAGAAATCTTCCAGCAATACAATAAACAATCTTGCAATTTTAAAAACATAAAGTCTCAAACAATAATCTTTCCGATGATCATAAAAATTAATATTATTTTCTTTATTAAAAAAATGGCATGACATTTGATGTAATTTTCTCTTTAGGATCGTGTATTTATTTCAAAAAGTTTCATTTTTCTTTTTTTTTGGTATACAACCCCGCTAGAATATGTAAATAAAAACATATTAATTTTGAACCAATTGCCGTGATTTCTATGCTGCTTGGGATAATAAATGCGTTGGTAGAACAACAAAATTTAGAGCTATGTGGAAACGAGAGGTCGAATAAATTTGGATCATGGATGACACATGGGGAAGGATAAACGTAATACGGAGAGTACATTTATCCTTAAAATTTAAACGAATGTAAGGTTTAATTAATTTATTAAATTTTTTGATAAAAAAGGGAATTCGTTAATGCTATATAACAAAACCGTTGTAAAACTTGGAAAGTTCAGTTAAAAAAATGAAGTTTAAAAACGAGGAAAATATTGTGCTACGGAATGCTATTGTCACAGTCTGAAATTTCCTTAATCACTCGAAAACTATATTAAATTTTTAATCAGGTTCAGCAAATGGGAATCTCCGGGCAACAGGTTGAGCTTAACTAGATCAGCTTCGAAACCGATACCTAATCTGAGACCGCATTAAACCACTGTCGGGCGCCGTGGATGCAGAAGAGGCATCACAACTTGGGATAATTAGTTTTAACCGCCTTCGGGGCAAATCAGCCGACCAATTTTCTTTTCTTCAACGGAGATTCAAACTATAATTGCTACATTACAAAAGGCTCACCAGCTTCCGTGGGGTTGGCCAGGAGAAAGGCTACAGCTGGGAGGAGCAGACAGTAGGTCGTCATAGCTTCGACGCTGTGTGCGAAGTTTGAGATCAGGGCCGCCTTAAAATTGGCTGCTTCTTCTCTCTAAGCCCTGACATGCGGCTTAGAACTGCTATCTACGTCATCTGGAAAAACAACAAAAATATAATTAGTACATTCATATAAAATGTCATTGTTTAAATATAGCATAAAAGTTCGAAAACTATCAGTTCAATTCTATTTCTTTTCGTATAAACAAAATTGAAGGGTAGTAAGTTATCAGAAAACATTAATTACTCAAAACATATTATTTTACCAATACTGGTACTATGCCCATGACTGTACCCTGAGGACACTGGTATGAGAACAACTTTATTCTCGATCTGAGTGACAAGGGGCAAGGAGGAATTTAGAAAGTCGTTAAAGGGAACGGACCAGTTCGTTCACAAATATTAGGAGATGTTTTACCTGTCTGATTGGAAAGATTAGCCTTCTTGGTTCTTGTCGGATCGGAATGGGATTTGGGTTAGGTGTCATCCGAAGTTTGTAACGATGATATTGGGATGCATAGAAAAAGTCAGCTGTATAAATGTTATACCGGATGGGATCAAGAATGGCCCATTGTGAGACGCCGGCTTGTATTCGCCTAAAATCTACGTGCTGAAGCATCAGTCAGTTAAACAAGATTCCGAGATAAAGAAATGAAAAGTGGAAAACAAGAGTCTATGTTTATAGAGACAATATAAGACTTATTGCATATTTGGTGATCGTGATGTGCGTTTTGGTGTGACGTAGGTTTTAAAATATAATTTTCTTTATCGTGCCAACGTTTCGATCTTTATTGAGACATCATCAGGGCTCAAAGTGTTTGTTTTCCGTTTAGGTGTGTCATTCTTGTGTGTCATGTTGAGAGTGCACTCTCGGAAACAATTTGAGCCCTGAAGATGATCTCAATAAAGATCGAAACTTCGGCATGATAAAGAAAATGATTTTCTAAAACCTACGTCACACCAGACCGCACTTCCACGTGCTCCAAATAATCATTGGCTAATAGTCAGTCACTAAACACCACACATAGGACTTATTTGTGAACTTATTTAAAAAAAGGCCAATTATTGTAATTTTTTAAATGAACGTAGCACAGACACATATACACAAATATTTAATTTCGGAATACAATTTGTATATAAATGCGCTAATTTTGGGGCCGACGAACATCAAACGATATCTCTAAAACGATATGTCTCGATCTTTTACTAACTCTGCTTTTCCATGAAAACTACCAGAACAGACATGCTATATANCGTAAAAATAATGGGTTGTTTATCACCGCACCGAGGAATATTGTGTACTACGAGTACTTTGGTGTGGGTGAATGTGACCGGACTTCTCAGTTTTACTTTTTTTTAGTTTTGTTTTTTAGTTATATACTATTTTAGTTATATATTATTTGTATATATTTTTAAGTAAACTTCTAAGTTTTACTATTTTTTAGTATTTAGGGTAAAGATATACTATATATACATCATCACCCTAAATACTAAAAAAAATAGTAAAACTTAGAAGGCTGGTAACATTCACCCACACCAAGGTACTCATAGTACTCGGTATTCCTCGGTGCGGTGTTAAACAACCCCTTATTTCCACTCTAATAGATTAAATTCATTCCTATAAAAGCATAAACTCTATACAGGCACAACACACACACACACACACACACACACACACACACACACACACACACACACACAAAACACTATATACATTTGAATATCCCTATAAACCGAAACATGTCCGACGAGATATCAAAATATTGTCCAAAGATGTCAAGCTGTCCACAACTTATTATTGTTTTTTTATTTTTACATTACAGGAACCTATGTGTCTTTTTCCGGGCAAAAAGTTCCTGCGAGTTATTCTTAAATGACCTATGCACAGTCTTTTCCTATTCCCTTTTCACCCGTTTTCCGAGGACCAGGGACCGACGCTTTGGCGGTAGTTATAATAAAATTAGAACAACACAATTTGTAGCAGTTTTTTTCTAGTTGTACATTTCTAAATATTGGAATAAATTAATAACTAATTGTTTTTAATATGATTCATTAAATAGTATAACTCTTTCAAAAACGTACGTAAGTATTGGTAATAAATAAATAATCATGAGCATATTTAAACCATAAGGAACAGTTCGCAATTCGAAGTCCGCGGGAGCACATAATGTTCCCCGGTTAGAGCTTTGGGGCAATCTCGACTAATTCCGTATGCATTAATTGCGTCATGGCTCTAAGCCTCGGCGAAGGGTTGAAAGGGATTGTCTTAGGGTTGGTGGTAAGCATGGTTGTTCTCAAGAGGAACAAACTCAAAACCAACCCCCTATATTACACGTCACACGGTAATGGAATTTTAATACCCGATCAACTGGTTGGAAGCGCTGTCTGACAGACCCCTCTTCTTCTGACAGCCTTTGGCAGTTAGAAAAGGGTTGTGGAGTGTACTTTTGACACTCCTCATTCCTTAACTCTCACGTTTACCCGGTAGACTACACCCTTTCAATTTCATGGGAAAAAATGCATTATCATTATTTTTATAAAACCGTGATAGATTTATAATAATGGAATTTAACGATCGTAAAACGCATTAAATATTCGAATTTTCTTGTAAGATATAAGACATAATTATTTAGGTTTTTATTATGTCATAGCTCAAAATTTATCGAATTACACGTGTAAACAATATATTGATTTGAGGAGGCATTAGGATTATTACTAACACTTTTTCATTTAAAATCAAGTGAAAGTTTTATTTTATATATATTTCGAGTCACTGGACCTACGATAAATATATCAATACCTCCAAATGTCAACAAAGGGTTTTATTGAATTTGGCATATATAACGTTCAGTTCCAATCTTTTACCAAAAATTAGGAAAGTTAATTGAGAGGAATTCTCACGGAGATTCAAACTTTGACGAGGGTTGCAACACTTTGTCTTTAACGTTTTGCTAACTGATAAAGATATCGGAGATTTGGACAGATTTATGAGATAGTTAAGAACAACTTGTTGCTCAAAATTTTGACCGAAAATTGCATTTATTCTACCATGAGAGTTTACGTAAAGGCATGGGCTTTAATTCTACACCGCCAAGTCCGGTTCTAAGAGTGATATGTGGTGTAATTACAATTTTAATAATTTCGCGCGTTAGTCCGACATGGAGATTAACTTTCTTTTTTAAATGTAACGCCAAAGATTCTGAAAAATCCATTGATTCGTTCAGGAGATACTGAAGTTTCATTTCAGAGCTCGATAATTTGAATTGATCATATACGATAAAAAAATGCAGGTATATTGACGTTCGCCTTCAGAACAAGTTAATTTTAAATGATTGTGAAACTGGTTAAATAAACAGGGGGAATTGACAATGTAATTAAATTAAATATGATAATTTAATTTGACTTTTTTTTTTAAACTAACATTACACCTCAAACATCGGTAAATTGAAATTTTCGGGTTCTGAAGGAAAAAATTATATATTTAGAATGATGGGATGAATTTTCGAGTTTCTGGTATAAATTTTTGTACAGTGGATAGGACTTTCAAAATGTGTGAAAAAAATTGCCCTCAAACATTTATCAATTCGAAGCAGAGATATTGAAGTTTGTCTTCAGAAAGCGATAATTTTAATTTGCCGTCTAACTTAACGCCGTGTTAAATAAATAGAAGCGAACTGACTATTTAATTAAATAAAATATGAAAATTTAATTTGTGTGGATTTTTTAAAACCTCACTTTTAACAAGAACCATCAGTAACAAGACGAGTTAAAAATATCGAATTCTGAAAGAAAACTTCAATATTTTTAGAATGAATGGATGAATTATTGAGTTTCTGTTATCATTTGCTTACAATTAAATGTAATTCAAAATGTATGAAAAAACTCATCCTCAAAAACTGTTCGAATCGTTCTGGAAATATTGACGTAGTCCTTCAAAACTCGATAAATTCAGTTTATATTGTGATTAGTTAAAAAACAAGAGAAAATTTAAAACTTAATTTGTGTTGATTTTGAAAATTGTAACATTAAAGAACATCAATACATTGAAACAACACGTTAAATATTGAAGTTGTCGAATACTGAACGAATACTTGAATGTGTTCAGAAGGATTCGATGATTTTTTGAGTTTCTGATGACATGGTTTTAGAATTGAAAAAATTCAAAAATTCATCTATTACTTATAGAGATATTGAAATGTTCCTTCGCCAATTTCAATTTCTCGTATACTGATGGTTTCTTGTTGATGTGTAAAAAACATCAATACAAAATAATATCTATCATCCTAAGTTTTTCAATAAAGTAGGAAGCATAAAAATAGAACATTTCTGTTATAAAATTTCACTATATTTATTTATTACATAAAAGTAAAATTTTTTGGCACAGAATGAAGCTATCCTCACACGACTTTTTAGGAGTGCATCAATAAACTGCTCAAAACTAATTAGGGACATTGCCAAATTCCATAAATTTGTTTATTGAACGCAATAATTTTTTTAAAATAATTAACGCCGTGAATAATGTCCTCTGTTATCTAAAATCTCAGTACACTTGCTAAGCATCCTGGTAATAAGGTTGTCACTATTTTCAAAAGGAATTTCGCTCCATATATGTTGCAACGCTGCATTCAGTTATTGCAGGTCAACTGGTTGCGGTTGGTGAATGAAAAGCCTCCTCTGCAACGCATCCGACACGTGGTTAATGGGATTAAGGTCAGGAGTCAATGGAGTAAGGGGCAGATAGGAAATTCCCCGGTTTTCGAAACATTGATGAAAGACTCTGACCTTATGAGTCATCTAGAAATCGAAAATTCCTGCCAAAGATATCCCTAGTATGAGTGATGTATTCCTCCATAATTTCTTGGACATAACGGATCGCGGTAGGGTTGCTTTCGACAATATGGAAGCCAGTTCTTCCTCCAGTGTAAATCCCAGCCCAGATCATATCACCGCCCCCTCCAAACTAAACTGATGGGAGCAAGAAGTGGGGCATCCCCTGTTCTCGATAGTCACTTCGTCGTCTGCTATCACAGATAGAAACGCGACTCGTCAGTAAACATAATAGCATTCCGATTGGTGTTTTCTTGTAGGCGGGCGCT